GACACCCGTGTTGCCCACCGAATCTTTCGGCAGGCCAAACACAAAGTCCAAACTTATGAACTGCCAGCACCCAGTGGGTACCGGTAAGTTGACCGGCGGCGCAGCCGCATTTGGAGAGGGTTTCACCAGTTGACACGTCTCACAAGTGCGCACATAGGTGCTTGTCCAATTGTACAGCTTGGGCCACCAATAGTGGTGACTCACAGAGTTGTACGTTTTCTCACGAACGAGATGATCACTGAGTGGCGTGTCGTGAGCCTCATAGAGGATGCGATATTTCAAATTCATATCATGAGGAACCACAATTCGTGGTGTATCCGTTGAATCGGTGCTAAAATAAAGCAAACAATTATTCAACGAATATCGGTGCAATCTTGCAACCAGTCTTGATGACGATTTCTTGTCCGATTTTATAAACTCCTTGCTCCCTAGAGCACGTAGCGACGCTACACACATCTAAAGTTATATTCCGCAAAGTAGGATAGCTATCTAGCCATCCTCTGCGAGAGGTGGAGCGGCTGAGTCGCAGTGCGTAATGACGCATGATCTCTATAGTTCACAAACGGCTTGGAGCCGAGTAGGTGGACCCTGAACATGCTTCATCTCAAGTAGCTCCTTGTCATGAACTGGGTAGTACTTCTCTGCAGCATTGAGCTGTCGGGATTCGAACGCGATCACCCGATCTCACCTCTCGGCGTCTGCTTGCAGCAGTGCACAGCCGATGGCAAAGTCTGAAGCTTAACAGACGATGCTGAAAGGACGATCAGGGTCTAGCAGTGTCAGTATTGGTGCATGCAGGAGGCTGTCTTTGACCCCGTCAAAAGCTTTCTAGTGTTCGGTGTTCCAACACCATTCCACATCCTTTACCAAGAGATTGGACAATGGCCGGGCCATTTCTGCGAAACTTACGCTGTACTTGTGCAAGTAATTGGCAAGACCAAGCCACTTACGCAGGTCCTTCTGGTTCGTTGGATTGGCCAATCTGCAATGTGCTTGACCTTAGCGGGATCCGCTCGAAGGCCACGCTTCCCAATGAAGCACTCTATAAAGGGAATCTCTTCTGCGCCAAAGATGCACTTGTCTGCATTGGCGTATAGTTTGTTTGTGCGCATGCACTCGAGCACCGCTTTTAGATGGACGAAGTGGTTCTTCTCATCCGTCCTCCCGTGCTCCGCACGACTGTGAACGGAAATGTCGTCAAAGTATGTCTGTGCATACACCCTGTGGGGCCCGAACAACTACGTCACAAGACGATTAAATGTCGCTGGTGCATTTGACTGCCCTTGGGGCATCACCAGCCACTCCCAGAGCATGCCGCTCGGAGTGCTTATCGCTGTCAACGGAATGTCACTCGCTCTCATGAGCAATTGATAATATCCACCTACCAAATCGAGTGCACTGTACTTCGTACATCACACCGTATTGTTCTGAAGAACATCCTTTCTAGTAATCGGCGTCTGTGCTGGAATAGTGGCAGCGTTGAGATTATTGTAAGCATGAC